CATTTTGTTTATATTTTATGTGACCGTGGATTTCCTGGATGTATCATCAGAGGTGTGTGGTGGATGGTCTGAAAGTGCCCCCAACTTATAGCAGTTGATAGTGTGTGGTGTCTTTTGAACTCTCAAGAGTCATGAATGGACTAATCACCTTTATTCCAGGGAATGTACTGCAGTGGCACTGGCAGCCAATGCACTGGCAACTGTAATATTAATGACTATGCAAGGTGATTGGTCTATTCAACATCTACTTGCTCAACTTATAAGTTAACCAAGATGGATGGTATGAATATTACTGGCAAGAATTTACGTGATAACCAGGGATCGCAAATATCTTTTAATGCCAATAGTATTAATATATCTCGGACAAATTTGCTGCTTTGTGGTACATCTATTTATCGGCAATGCATCTGAATTGGTATACTCATACGAGCGTGGTAGCTTCTCACAGTTCATGAACATTGTGGTAAAGAAAACATTGAAACCCTCAGACTGTATGTGTTATTTCAATAGAACCACTCAACTGTTGACACCCTCAAACAGGGGTACAAAGATCAATTGTGTCTGCCTGACTAACTCGAGTTCACACAATCATTACAGATGTGGTATTAAACATTTTTAACATAACATTCGAGGGACTTGTATTATTTGTCACATTATTCCACACTGTGGGAACGATAAAGCTACTAAGAGATACCAAAGAATTGTGGGAACGATCTATATCCTATCTATTTGTACAGCAAGGTAGCTTCTTTCAATGTTTCTGTCTATATGTTGTTGTGACTTAGTGGTATTATTTTCAGGTGTTTTCCAGTTTGCATCAGTGCTAAATTAATGTAACTTCGATTCATGAAATGTTAAGTTTGATTGTTAAGCATAAATTTCATATGGAATTTAGAGACTCTAATTCAAAATGAGGTATAGTGTTCTTACTGCTTTCCACTGTTTTTGCTGATACTATTGTATTTCTTCTAAGGTTGTCTCAGTAAATATCTCTTGTCAACTGAAGTTTTTCCCATGCACTCATCTCTCATGAAATGTAGGCCACCTTTAAAAACTTCGGCACCCCCCTGGAGAGTTGGCAAGCATTTATCGCAAACATTTCTCCAAAATGTTAATTTAATGACAACTGCAGCATAACCATTATTCTTGTTTGCTGCTTCTTTCTAGATCTGTGCCAATTAAACTCACAAAGTAACTTGATGAATGCGACAAACGATCTTGTGGTCTCTACCTTCCAAGGGGCAATGCGCAGTATAGGAAATTCTTTGATTGAGGATGTCAGAGATGTATATCTTATGCAAGGTTTTATTTTGGGGGCACGTTGTGAAGGGACCTCCCCCTCCATTCTGCAGAAGGGTGCCCAACTGAGGAGGCATCTGGTCAGAGAATTGAAGGCCTTGATGCACAGTAATGCAAGGGACCATCCACAACTGTCGAAATATGGGTGACCATGTAGATTAGAAAATTATAGCATTTGAAGGAGCAAGATAAAGCTCCAAAAGAATCCTTAGTTATATAGAGTTCACATGTTGAATAATTATTCTATTTGTTCAATTTATTTATTTATCAAACACCTAGTCACTCAGAGTAGTTCAAAATAGGTCAATCTCTACTGGGTCTGACCTCAGAAGAATACAGTAGGTGGTTTAGCGAATGCAAATCTGCCACTATATACAATTGCCATGCCATCCATTCCACATTACAGAAGGCAATATAGTAATTGTATCAAACTGATCATCTGAAGCAGATGATTGATGATGAACTTGGAATTGGTCCAGATTTTGCATATTTTTTCAATCTGGTGCTAAATCCAGTATATTACAAAGGTATCTATCTGGAATGAGGAAACATATCCAATTCAGTTGATGCCATTCCCCAGACCCATGGCATGCGGGCTCACCACTACACAACCGGTTCAGATTTTGCATGTATTTTGATCTGATGTTAAGTACAGTATATTACAAAGGTATCTTTCTGGAACGAGGAAACATATCCAATTCACTTGATACCATTCCCCAGACACATGCCATGAGGGCTCAATATTCCACAACCTGCCTGTACATGTGAGCCTTCCCAGAGATTATAGCGAATGGTTGTCCATCATGTCAACCAATATCTTCAGGGGAGACTAGGCGGGTATTAACACAACATCCCTGCAAGGTTGTGAATAACCTCTGGGGGTGGAGCAATGGTAGAAGATGTGGGATGGATGTGTGTCATTTAGAGTTCATCTCTAAGTAACGACACTAACAAATGTACCAAATAAAAATAACACTGGGAGATCTAGCTGCATGAAATATTATGACGAGAATGCCAACAGAGAGAATTGAATTTCAAGCCTTGTCATCAATATATTTACAACATCTGTGCAGCATGCAACATGCATCGCACCGCTCAGGAGCTAGATCAAGCTAAGTGATGTGATGCTGGCCCACTGGCGGGCTGTCATCGTATGTCCCCCTGTTGTAGCTGAAGTTTTAATATGGCATTGGCATGTGGGCGAGATTCAGTCTGTCGGAGCAGTGTGGTGGTGCTGGTGCAGACTCCAAAATATGCACATACATCCATTGTGATCCTTATGTATAGAGCGATGCCTGAGGGGCCATTGAAGCAGGGGCTTCCTTCAAGACAGTGACTCATGTGCAGCGGGTGGTTCACAGCAGTCGTCTTGTTCTATTTAAAACATTAGTGTGAGAGGTGTTTAGAATCCATCACAGTGAAAATAATTGTGGTGTATAAAGAGAGGGAAGAACTCTGGTGAGACATTTCTTGGCACTTGCGATTGCTTTGTTAATCGTTTAAGGAAGCAAGTGACCTCAATATGCACTACAACCCCAGATAGATCCATGCAAATGTATTAAATGATGAGTCAATATGGGAGTACCATGAAATCACAAAGTGATGGTGATTCACTATACAAAGGAAATTTTTGGCACTCAAGTTGTGAATCTTTGCCTCTCATTCATAATTGCAAAAGCTATGATATCTGAAATCACAGCTGGCTGGACTGCTTCTCATTGGATGCTCGCAATCATATAACTACTTATTATACTGTGCCCAGAATGCTGTTAATTTAATATCCTGAACACATCCCAGTGAACCAACACAGGAACTTGCTAATATCTCATATAACATTCCTGGCAGATCTTCAAAAAGTGGTTATTCAGGAAGTGTTACAACTGGAATTCCCGCCGGACTCCAGGCACTAATGTATATGCACCCACGCCCTATATGCACCAATTGTCAGTTTACCGGAATTCCCACTGGACTCCGTACATCAGACTTGTCTACGTTCGACTTTGTTACATTGTGTATCAGTCACTGGAATACCCACCAGACTCTGTCCCTGTCTATGTCCAATTCTGTCCCACACATCAGTCACCGGACCCCGCTCGGAAAACCCATCATCCTTCTAACTGAGCCCCATTCCCATTATAGTCAAATGACCTGTCACAATTCGGATCCACTCCTGCTCCATTTCCCATTCTGGTTTATGATTTGTCATGATTCAGACTCCGCTCCATTCCATCCCATTCCTAACACCAAATTTGGTGTTTACTATTCTTGTTTTATGTTTTGCTAGTTTTGTTTCATTATTACTGGATTTGGTATGTCATTCATTCCACGGTCTATGTAGTCTGGCAGATGTTGTACATACAATCCAGTCAGAAAATCGGCTTAGATTCCCCCCAGTAATCTAATACATTTTCCGCTCTAAACTCCTACTTGAATTACACTGCTCATGCTAGTCAGAGCCCATGGGCTCTGGTGCATCTATCTCTCTTATTTATCTCAACTCCCGACCTCTCGACCCATGACCTCCGACCTATGACCCCTCAACCCACGAACCCTGCCTGGACTCCCCAGGATTCCCATCTGCCTGTCTGAAATTGGACAACACGATCTCGTGAGGGTGCAGCCTATAAGCTGAAGCCAAGTCCTATCAGATATTCTGCAGGTTTCTCCAGAAACCCACCATGTATGTACCCTAACAGGAAGCTACTATGGAGTACCTTAGGCCATTTATTGTATACAACTAACACATGCGCTGACCAAGAGTTTTTCAGGAACATTCAGATATACAGCAATGCAGTGAGCGTAGGTCTGTCTATACACATTTGTGGTTGTTTACTGCATTTATAGATCAACATCTCAGCTTTGTTCAGTTATGATACAATTTTGACTCTTCCATCAGAAAGCCAGTTTGTATGGAAAGGGAAGATCAGACTAGTATCTGTGCTCTACATTGTTACCCGATATTTATCCCTGATTTTGTTCATATTATATACGACCGCAGATTTCCTGGATATATTGTTAGAGGTGCATGGTGGGATGGTCTGAAATGCCTGTGACTTATAGCAGTTGATAGTGTGTGGTGTCTTTTGAACTCTCATGAGTTGTTAATGGACTAACCCCCTTTATTCCAGGGAATGTAATGCATTATCACATGCAGCGAATACACTGGGAACTGTAGTATTAAGTGCTATACATGGTGATTAATCTATTCAACATTTACTTTCTCAACTTATAACTTAACCAAGATAGATGTTAGGAATATTACTGGCAAGAGTTTACAGTATAAGTAGGGATCACAAATACCTTTCAATGCCGATAGTATTAGTATATCTCGGACAAATTTGTTGCTTTGTGGTATCTCTATTTATTGACAATGTATCTGAATCGGTATACTCATATGAGCATGGTAGCTTCTCACAGTTTATCAAGATTGTAATGAAGAAAATATTCAAACCATCAGACTGTATGTGGTATTTCAATAGAACCACCCAACTGTTGATACATTAAACAGGAGTACAAAGATCAATTGTGTATGCCTGATGAACTTGAGTTCACACGATCATTGTAGACATAACATCAGATGTTGTTAACATGACATTCAATGCCTTCATATTCTTCGTCACATTATTCCACACCATGGGCACGATCAAGCTACTAAGAGATATGAAACAATTGTGGGAACTGTTAAAGGCATAGAAAAGAATTGACCCAGCCTGGGATTGAACCAAGGACCTCCTGGCTTTACATATATGCAGGTGCACTTAACCACTGAGCTACTGGACCTATAGTCTAGTATTATATGATGGATTATATATACATATATATATATAAACTTATGATGCCAACTTGTGCTCTTATAACAGTTTATATAACTGATGGCAAACCTGGGTTTTATAACAGTCTGTCACATATAGATATTGTATTTTCCCATTTCTAACACTTAGAGCACGGGGCCCATAACCTGTTAAATGTGACCTGTGACTTACTGTGACACTGTGACACACTGAAGTCTGAGGAAAGTTGTTACTATTCAGGTCACTAAGTACAAGCTTATATATGTTATACATCAGTAGGCTTGTCAGCTGTCATGGGAAATGAAACTAAGAATACCCTGGAACATTGTTACGACCGTGTCGCAACCCTATCGGTCCCGAGGTTATCGCCACTTGTCAACGTTTCAAGTCACCATCTCGGAAACCATCGGCCCCGAAGCTGACAAATGTTTTTGCGAAGATCAAACTCCGTTTACGCCCACGTCAAAACAACTCGTATTGTCTGGTCAAACTTTGATACGTCCCCTTTATTATGTTGATCCGTTCAATCTTATGTTTCACATATGTCTATCTATAATTGTAGTCCTTGAACTATTTCCTTTTATCGTAATCCCGCTCTCGGTTATCATCGGCCTCCGAACTAATCATAAACTTCCCGTTCCTAGTCAAGCTTATTGTTAATACCGTGTTCCGCCCTTCTCCCCATTAGTATTTTCCAGATGCCTGTTACTTGTATATGAACCCGCTGTAGTTGTAGTCAAAAAGCAATCAGAATATCGACTCAGAATACCCTCATACGCCTGTATCAGTCTCATACTAAGAATCCCCCCATCCACCTTCGTGTGCGCTCGCCCACTCCCGGCCCCGACCCCTTGGCCCAATGCTCGACTTGTCCTTCGATTCTGATCAGTATCACGCTGAAAGGTACTCATTAGGATTAGTCTTCGCCCGCCCGAAATTTAAGGACATCCTACGGATATTTGCGAGGGCGCAGCACATAAGCTGAAGCCAAGTCCTTCCGATCGGTCCCTGTCGGCCACCGACATTAGTCAGTTTTCAGTTCTTAACAGTATATTCTGATTTCACACTCGCATTTTCCATTAATAATGCCTCTGAGAAGAAATGCCAAGCCTAGCGGTGAAGCAGAATCTTCCACTCTCAAGTCTCCTTTTCTGTATACAGCCCGAGCTACTCAGAGAACTCCGCTACCAGAAACCTCCGAAGAATCTCGCTTTGTGGAGATTACCGGCGATGCTGAAGAAGTAACTGAAGCAACCGATCCCGAAGCAACTGAGGAGATTAACAATCAACCAGTTTCGGAACACGAACCCGAGGATGGCGACCAACCTCAGGCTAGTGGCTCCAAGAAGTCTGCAAAGAAGAAACCGGCTCTCGACCCTGAAGAAACATGGGAATTGTTTTCAGGTACTCTAGGATCCCTTAACGAATTCCTTAAAAGCAATATCAAGGAAAAGGAACCTGGGCAAACCCGAGTCAACAAACCCGAGCCATTCACTGGCTCAAACCCGAAGAAATTGCCGACATTTCTTATGCAATGTCGATTCAACTTTTGGGACCACCCGGCTGCATTCGCAACGGATGACCGAAAGGTAAACTTCGCACTCTCATACCTTAAGGATTCCGCAGCAGCCTGGTTTGAACCCGCATTCTCTGGCCTCACCTCCGAAGACCCCGATTGGCTTCACGATTGGGATGCCTTTGTTGAGGAACTCAAAACTAACTTCGGTCCCTACGACCAAACCGGCGATGCCGAAACCGCGCTTTCTAATCTCAAAATGAAAGACACTCAGCGCATCACCGATTACATCGTCCAGTTCAACAACCTCGCCGCGCATTGCGACTGGGGAGATTCGGCCCTCCGCTACCAGTTTTACTCCGGCCTTTTATCTCGCCTCAAAGATGAAGTCTCCAAAGGAGAGACTGGCAAGCCGAAGACCCTCTCTCTCATGCGTCTGAAAGCCCAAAACGCAGATGCCCGATACTGGGAACGACGTTCGGAAATTAGTGGTGAAAACCCCTCGGACAAAAAATCAGCGGACAATAAGAACACCAACAAGTCTGGTAATCAAAACACCAACAACAATGGCAACTCGACCTCCGATAAGAAGTCCGAAAACAAAGGGGCTAATGACAAAAAAGGCAAGGGAAAACAGTTGAATAAGTCTCAAGACAAAGACAAACCTGACTTAACTGGCAAACTCGGCTCTGATGGCAAGCTCCTACCACAGGAAAAGCAACGCCGAATGGACAACAACCTTTGTTTGTTGTGCGCAGATCCCAGACACCGAGTCGCTGCTTGCCCAAAAGCCACAAAAGCCTGATCGGCTAATACGGCCACGACCTCACAACCGGCCAAGCCGGCTGTCGAGTCGAAAAAAGATTAAGCAACTCTCTGGATTCCGTGCATTTGGAGAGTTGCGTTGAATCTCCTCGCACACCGGAAAATTGTCACCTTAACGCATCCACCTTGTATGATCCTAATTCCTTGTTCATAAATCTTACCTCGGAACCTCTCGGGACCCTCACATTTCGAGCTCTCATAGATTCAGGTTCAACCCATTGTTTTATGGATACAAGTTTTTCCAGAAAAAATCAGTTAAAAACCTACGCAATAGATCCGATTCCGCTCCGACTCTTTGATGGTACCTCAAACTCCGTAATCTCGCAAGCCTGCGAACTCCGACTTCGGTTCCCATGTGGAACCTTTCAGACAGTTACGTTTTTTGTAACACAGTTGGACCCGAGCTGCTCCGTGGTTCTAGGACATAACTGGCTCACCCGCTACAATCCGTTGATTGATTGGGTATTGGGCAGTATCCATTTCCAAACCCCGTCGGCGCCCGTTACGACTGGTCCGTTTCCACCTGTCTCGGCAAATATGGCCTCTACAGCACCTCCGGCCCCCGTGGCAAATCCGAGCTCTCTGCCGCCCGTCTCTCTAATAAATGCCGCAGCTTTTATGAGAGCCATCAAGTTGGACGGCTCCCGAGCATTTACAGTCAATCTTAAAGTTGACGAAGTCACCGGTCGCTTTGCATCCCCGGTGACCGAACCAATCGCAGATTTAGAAGGTGTTCCCGAAAAATACCATGAATTTGCAGATGTCTTCAGTAAACAAAAAGCCGATCGACTCGCCCCTCACAGGCCTTACGATTTGAAAATTGATATTGAAGATGGTTCACATCTGCCCCTAGGCCCAGTTTATCCTCTCTCGCAGTCCGAATTATCGGCTATCCGAGATTTCTTGGACGAACATTTGGCTATAGGTTTTATCCGACCCTCAAAGTCTCCTTATGGAGCCCCCCGTCCTATTCGTTCGGAAAAAAGACGGTTCCCTTCGACTTTGCGTTGATTTTCGAGGACTAAATGCGATCACTCGAAAAGACAAGTACCCATTACCATTAATCTCCGATTTACTCGATGCCCCTCGGAAGGCCCGAATATATACAAAGATAGATCTCAAGCATGCCTATCATTTGGTTCGGATCACCGAAGGCGACGAATGGAAAACGGCTTTTCGCACTCGCTATGGCTCCTTTGAATGGTTAGTAATGCCTTTCAGCCTCACCAATACTCCATCGGTCTTTCAACGTTTTATCAACGACGTCTTTTCCGACCTCCTCGACGTCTTTGTCATTGTGTATTTAGACGACATCCTCATATTCTCTGAAGATCCTACACTTCATGACGGACACATTCGTGAAGTTCTCCGAAGACTCCGAAAACATGGTCTTTTTGCGAATGGTAAAAAATGTTCTTTTGATGTCAACACAGTTGAATATTTAGGGTTTATGATGGGACCTGACGGTCTCCGCATGGACGACTCTAAAATTCAAGTCATTCAAGATTGGCCGGAACCCCGGAAGGTTAAGGATATTCAATCCTTTCTAGGCTTCGCCAATTTTTATCGTCATTTCATTCACAACTACTCAAAAATTACCGTCCCACTCACCCGTCTTACTCGTAAAGATGCCCCGTGGAATTTCTCCGAAGAATGCCGATCGGCATTCCAGGAATTGAAAAGTGCGTTTACATCCACCCCTATTTTGTCACACTGGAAGCCCGACGTTCAACTCATCGTGGAAACTGATGCTTCGGACTATGCGCTTGCCGTGATATTGTCCATTCTGGACACCGATGGTGAAGTACACCCAGTAGCTTTTCTGTCTCGCACATTTTCGGCGCCCGAACTCAACTATGACGTTCACGATAAGGAATTACTCGCAATATTTGAAGCTTTCAAGACATGGCGACATTATTTGGAAGGCTCGGCCCACCCGGTAGATGTTATTACAGACCACAAAAATTTAGTTTACTTTTCAACCACAAAACTTCTCACCCGTCGACAAGCTCGATGGTCCGAATACCTCTCTGCTTTCAACATGGTAATTCGTTCCGCCCCGGCCGCCTTGTGGAAAACCTGACGCTATGACTAGACGATGGACGTCTATCCTAAAGAGGGAGTAGCGACTACACCACAGTTAACCCGCATAATTTCAA